ACCTGCTTGCTACTGATGGACGATCGCCCTTGGAGCGCTCTGGAAGGTTTGAACTATGAAAATGATTTTGTGTTTTTGACCAACCTTACTTTGTAAATCATTAGAGCATCTCTTCTCTAAACACCAACAGTGGGGACAGCTTGTGATTAACCTCTCTCCCTCCAAGAAGCGGTTGGTACAAATGATTCTTCCTTTTGGAACAATGTAACCAGTTTTTAATAAAGCTGAAAGACTTCTGCCCAGAGCCCTGTGGTCATCTGTTTTCCTTAATGGCCTTTTATGAGGGACCTTATCAAAAGCTCGCAAAGGAATCCAAGTGAACGATGGTCTTCCATTCACCTTTACCTACTGCTTCATTAACTTTTTCAAAAACAATATGACACAGTTTTCCACATAATTAAAGGGGTTGGGAGAAGGGAACTTTAAGTACCGTTTGACAGTTCGCGACGTCGCTCAGGAGGACCAGGTCACCGCTCACATTCTGCCTCTGCTCTCGGACACTAATTCATTTCCCAGGCTGTCTGGCGAGGTCAGCCACAGGTTCAAGGTGGAAATGACAAGGTTTCAAGCTTTCAAGTGTGTAGAGCTCAGTTCTCCAGAGAGCCCGAAGGAAGGAAGCAGCAAGTTTATCTAGGTCTGGCCCAGAAAAAAAAAAAAAAAAGAAAAAAGAAAGCTGGGGGAAGACCAGAGTGGAAGGCAGAAGAGGGAGGGCTGCCTCCCCACCGAGGGGAAACTCCAAGGCAGGTTGCAGATTCTCCCAACTGCTTTCTGGGTTCTTGTATGAGGGAAAGGGGAATTGGTGGCAGAACTTGGAAAGACTTTCTATCTTCCATAGGAGGAAAGCAAGGCCAGAGGGGAAGGTGGGCAGTGGTTTTCTGAGTAAGCTCATGTCAGGAGTGGCCTCTGTAATAGACTGATCTTGTCACCATCCCAGTCACGACTCTATTTGGGACTATCTCCTGGGTGCTAAAATGGGTTGTTTGAATGTGCACACCAACCTCTTTAGTCTTCACAGCCCAGCTTGCTAGATGCTGTTATCCTCATTTATAAATGAGAGGGGAAAGGATAGAGCACAGAGCACTTACAGGACCTGGCGAAGACTGTACGTCTAACAGGATAGCAGACTGGCTGAATCCACTCCTGATTCGGAATGGCAGGATGCTCACGCGAGCGAGCAGCTGGTGAATTCTTTGCTTATTCAGGGGCTAAATCCACCCACAAGACAAACAGGCTGGGGAAGGAGATATTCTGAGCGTTCTAAAGATGAAGTACTAGTTTTTGTCAACCAAGTGTCATTACTCAACAGTGAGAAAAATAGGCCGATGCCATTTAATTCATGATAATGACTCACAAGGCCATTCCAGGGTGCTGTCCTCGCTGCGTCTTTGTGAGTCTCCATTTTCTCTGGCCTGAGAATTTGGAGGATTACAAAGGATGCTGGCTGACAAAATGCTGGCGGAGTTGGCTCCGCATGTAGGAAGGAGGCAGTAAGGAAGAGGGGAGAGCTTCCGTTTCTTTCTGGCTTACTTCTCAGTTTCCACTGGCCCCGTGCCTGCTTTTCCTTATGTCCAAAAAATTGGTCCATTTTTAGCCTTTTCTGTGACTTCAGAAAACTCATCATTATTGGCCACCACATGCTTCATGTTCTATGGGATGGGATGCCTGAATGTGAGAAAGCAGTTTGTTTTTAATGACACACAGTAACTGTGTATATTTATAAGGTTACAGTATGGTGTTTTGGTATAGGGATTCACTTTTAAATGATCAGATGGGGACATATAACATACTTGCATGTTAAAGTTCTCTCTTTTGCTACTTTGATACAGTCTTACCATATCTGCTGTCAAGTGCCTTCCTCCATTGCTTTCAGCCTTGTAGCCTTGAAACAAGGTCTCACTGAAGATCATGTGCTATTACCCATCAAGCCTTCTCTCTAGCCCTCTACTTCTTCCACTTAACTGTAAACATTGTTGCCAGTTGACCCCTCCCCAACAGTCCCAGCCTCTGGTGAGCATAGTTCTCTCCTTTCACTTCTGTGAGATCAGCTTCTTTAGACTCTATGCAGAAGTGAGACCATGAAAGCATCTTAAAAGTGCATCGCCGAGATCTGCACTTTTCCCCATGATGCTCTTGCTGGCTGTCATCTTCCAAGTAGTCAGAAGATCCTACCTTCTGGGCATCATATGAATCTTAGTAAGAATCCAATATCTAAGGGGTCAGAGTGATGCTACTATTCTGAGTGCTACTCTGTCAGGACAGGCAGCTCAGCTGATAGGAAGATTTGGGGAAATCTTGATGTGTCAAGACAACAGCCCCTTCAGACCTAAGAGACTGAACGACTCAAGAGGCACCAGGAGCTTTTTGTCAATGATGAAGCTGCAGATTGGAAAGAATGTGTCACCAGAATGGCAGAGCATTGAAGCTATGAACTAACATGAAAAAGATCAAGGCTCTTGCCCTGGAGAAGAGATGCCTGCACTGGTGGTTCTCACTGGGGTCAAATAAAACCAGAGGTTGATGTTCTGAAGAAGCATTTTGAGGTCTGCTTCCAGGGGACAGTTGATAGACACCAGGTATGTCCATGGAATATGCCGCCATTGCAGAGTATACAGGATGTGCTGAGGTAGAGGAAGAGAAGCAAAGGTCAGACTTAGGCCACACAGCCCTGTGTACCTCTGGCTCAACACCTCAAGCCCTTAGGGGTCTTGGATGAGGCAACTTTGACGTTCACCAGAGTTTCACTGTCTGCATCTGTAAAGGAGAAATCATGCTACAGCTTTCTGGCTTGTCAGGTAGTGCGAGCAAAGTGACCAACACTAGCAAATGTTTTCCTCTCCCATGAATACCTTGATTTGTTTGAACTCAAATGCTACATCTACTTTCCCTAGGAAGACTATGCACATGGCGTTACACTTTCTGTATTTCCTCTATTGATGGTGAGAAAATACCATATTTAGAGACATACACGGCTTTATGGCTTCCCCTCGATTGGATCTATGACATGAAAAGAAAAATCATCATGTAAACTTAATAAGATAGGAAAAGATAAATCTATAGAGTTTATATGACATTACATGTATTTCTATCTAACGCAGTATCCATAATTTAAACCAATGGCAGGGCCTCTGGTATTTGGCTAGTGACTGCATCATGAATACATTCTGAAGTTAAAAATGGTGTATTGTATTGAGCTGAATAAGAAGTGTAGAACATTTTATTTTCTTATCTCTCTTTTTATCCATCCATCATATCTATTATCTATGTGTATGTATGTATGCATCCACCCATCCACCCACCCATCCAATCTATTATATATGTGTACATATGTATGTATATATGTATGTATCCACCCTCCCACCCATCCACCCATCTACCCATCCATCCATCCAATCTATTATATATGTGTATATATGTATGTGTGTATATATGTGTGTGGGTATGCATCCACCCTCCCACCCACCCACCCACTCACCCACTCATCCACTCATCTATCCATCTATCATATCTATTATATATGTGTATATATATGTATGTGTATGTGTGTGTGCGTGCGCGCGTGCGTGCATGCGTGCATCTGTCAATCCATCCATCCATCCATTCATCCATCTGAAGCTGAGTTACCAGAGTCACATTTTGTGCCCCAATGACTTGGAGCTCTCAGCCTGCCTCAGCCTCCTGTGTGCTGCAGTTCTAGGCCATCTTACTTGTTAATGCTGCTTCTCCTCTTGTGCAACTTCACACCCAACTCTTGCAGGGGGATGGAGGGATCAGTCGGGATTCCTACATGATGCCCAAGACAAATCCTGCTCTTCCTGACAACAGCGTTTGAGGGATGGATGTTCAGTCTTTCACAAAAGCTCCTCTCTCTTCCTGGCTGTCTGCTAGGTGGACCTATGAACCCTCACGGTGGCTCTGGATGAACCTTGGATTTTCCTGTTCTCTCTGAATCTTCTCTGGCCTTCTCTGCAGTGCTGGATACAGAGTGGTTTCTTCTTTTTGACTTTTGAGATATATGTATACCCCTGGGCATGATTCTGGCCATTTCTGTCTGTGGAAGCCATGTGTTTTGTAGGGGGAAAGGAAAGCCTACTGCTCTGGAAAAGTCACAGCATGGAGGAAGGGACGGGACTATGGGCCATCAACTTGGTTCTATCCTCCCTGCCTTAGCTCTGTCATCTTTCTCCCGGCTCTACAGCAAATCTTCTGCTTCCAATGCCCGATCCCTCCACACCTGGATAGCACCCCGCATCACCCAATGTGCTGCTTTTCTTATGTAGAGGAGGCTTTCAAAATAGAGGCTTACTTTTCTTCGACACTTAGCTTCCTAGAATACCCTTTGCTTTGGCACTTCAAAAATCTTATTTTGATAGTAAGTAGTAAACAATGCCTCCTTTTCTGCCGGACGCTATCTACTACCCACGGACTGAGAAGCGTTGATTCCGTGGACCAGGTCCACAGACAGCCATAAGCCAAAGAGGAATAAGGAGCACATAGCACTCTAATATGAGACGGGCAGCAATGTACAGTGGTGTAAACACACGTCTGCTAGGATGGGTTGGAGACTGTGCCAGCCTGGTCACCTGCTGCCACTCAGGTGTAACGTTCAGGGACAATAAACCCTTGTGTGTCTGGAAGAGCAGTACCTGGACAATGCCAACATTGAAACCTCAGGTGTTCCAGCGGAATGTGTGATCTTTCTGGTTATCTTATTTTATCATTTGGTCATCTTCAAATTTCTTTCTATGAATTTTATGATCTTCCTGCAAACGTTGCCAGCGAACATGAAGGCTGACCTCTGACACAGTCCCCACCCATCCGTATCACCATGCTTTACATACGTGTTACATCACATGTAGGGGGTAGGCAACCCGAGTTTCAGGGGTGTTCAGACTAATTGCTCAAGGATTCACAATTGATGGGTGACTCTAGGGACCGCTCACCAAAACCCTGATCTCATTCGGTCACACCGCATCAGCTATCTGCTTTCTCCTTCTGCACAGAACTCATTCCAGACTCTGAAGATGGACAGAGTTTAGCTTACTGAATCAAGACACAAGTCTCCAGGGAGAGCCCGTGAAAGGGACTCCAAGGAAAATCTCCAGAAGAGATCGTCCACAGTTGCCTCGGCCCGTGACAGAAAGAAGCAGCAAAGCCCCGTGTCATGTCACCGAGATTGTTTTCATAACAGTTGATATTTTTCACTCTGATATAGAAATTAATACCAGAAGTAGAGTCTGGACATAATGAAATCCTATCACTTGACTGTTACCTCATCCTAAATAGGTAAATCAATTTTTTAATCCAGGCACTAATGAAACTATTACCAGAGAATGAAAAAATGGCAATCAGTGCTTTGCAGTGTTCAATATTAATTATGAACATCCCTACTAGCTTGGAGTTAGTCCATATACCTGGTATGTAGCAACAGGGGGAAAGATCAGATAGGGAATTTTAGTAATATCATCACGTATTAGGGATTACATATACCTTAATGACTTTTCAAGTAGAAATAACAAGATGCAGAGACCCCAGAAACTTGGTCCCATAGAATTGGAAAAGATAAATTTGTTTTAGACTCAAGAAACATGGTAGGGCACTACACAGAATTTAAGCAGCAAAACTTTTGCTAAGTTCTCGATAGAATGAATGAACGTGAGAGCAAACCCAGCCCAGAAGTGTGGCCTTCTCGCTTTTCATCATGGTCACCCTCAGTGTGTTACGCTGCATGACAGAGATGGAGGTGGAGACACAAAGGTAATACAGGAGCTCCTCTGTTGCCAGTCTCAAGAGTAACTCGGGGCAGGGCGACCGCACACGGACCAGTGACTGGCAGCAAGCGGAGTGCATGCTGTCTATGTTTTGACAACTGGGCTCTGAAGAACCCAGAAGCCTGAATCCCAGAGAACTCACTTTATCCCAAAATTAAAACAATTTCTAATTCCCACCCCTCTGGCCTGAGTGGCAGTTAGCTCCTAGTGTTGCCTTCATTGGAGGAAAGTAAATCCCCCAAACCTACTTACTGGAGGAAGATGAAGACAGAGATAAAGGGTCTTCCTCGAGACAGACCCACATTCCTCTTCCACCACAGGGAGCTGCCTTCCTGCATTGGCCCCTAGGGGCCCAAGCACCACAGGGGTCCCCAAGGCAGGGTGCTATTGTTCTCTTTTTGCCTGATATGGTTCTCCACTCTTTTCCCAACCACAGTGTAGTGGTTGCCATGGTGAGAAAGTTGAGGTAGGAGTTGAAGTCTTTTTAATATCTGGGTACCATGCCACCCCAAATCCTGGATATTTACTGAAAGGTGATGATTTGATGGGCGCCCCTGCCACCCGGCCCCACCCCTATGTACTGTAAGAAGAAGAGTGGCGTAGACTTCTGGGGTCCAGAGGGCACAATGTGGGGGTTAAACCTTAAGCGATTACATTTCTTAACCTCCGGGGCTATGCAGAACGGCACCCCTGCCTGGCCACACTACCGAACCTTGACCAGCAGAGACAGTAACCATCCCCTCAGTGGTTTGCCATCTCCGCCGTTCTCCTCTTACCCCAACCGCTGGGGGCAGAGGACTCCAAAATGGAAGAGCCTCGGGATGGACAGAGTCTCGACTTCAGAGCCATCACGTAGAAGAAGGCATCCAGGAAGTGGTCTGACCCAAACCACATGTCCATGTGTGAGTCATATCCCCATATGAGGATTTAACACTTGTGTTTGGAAGCCGTGTTTTATAACAGACGGTATTGATAACTCTGATCAATATATCATTCCAGTTAAGACGAGTGCTGAAAGCCTAGCTCTTGCTCCTCTCAAAAGAGTGAAGCAGACTTATCGTCCTCACTGTGGTTGGCCCTGTCCGTAATTCAGGCTGTGGAATAGATACATATCCACTAGATATACAAACTACAGAATAGAGGCTCAAATCCTAAGTGCAACACTATGAGCATCTAGTGCCATCCACCCTTTGAATGTGGGGAGGGGCAGAGAGGGGTGAAGTCTGTCGAGGAGGCGACGCACACACAGCGGCGCTTTCAGAATGAAGAACATTTTCTAGGCCAATAAGGGGCGGGGGGGGGACACCATTGGGGAGAACCTATGGGAATGGAGATCAGGAAATGATGAATCTGTTTGTGTAGCTGGTAATGAAAAGCATAGTGGTTAACCTCGCCAGCAACTTTATCAAGCTGTCAGAATTGTTAGTTTCTATATAGGATGGCCAGGCCATGTGGGTTTGACTCTGGTCTTCAGAGGAGGTTTGCTGATAGGTGGGGACAGGCTGTGCACCGTCCAGGTGAGTTAAGCTCCGAGTTCCTCCTGCCATACGGACCACACCAGTCGTCTTTATTTCATTAGTCCTGCAGTGCTACAGCGGGAACTCATATTTATTATATCAGCCCTCATGGAATGGTTGGGCAAATCCAGTAAGAAAAACACATGAAACCTGATACAGAATGACACACGGCTCTGTGCTTTTCAGACAGCTGGCGGCGTGGTGGCCCTGGTGTCACAGCACTGCGCACGTCACCACCACTCTGAAGGACACATTTCACTTCAGTGGCTGTTAGGGGTAAGGACATGCTGCCACCCGGAAGGCTGGGAGGTAGGGAGTGTGCCCAGGGTGCTTCCTTCCAGGATGGATACGCAGAGCAGGAGTCAGGACTGAAGCTCGAGGACCCTGGACGCCTCAGCCGGGGCGGCTAGTTTTGTAGTTCAGTGGGTAAGGCTGTAAGGAAAAAAACAAGTCATCGGCTCTGAAGAGAAGAGGATGAGGAACAAGTCAGAACGTGGGGTGTGTGAGGACAAGAGATCAGAACTGAGGTTCACACAGTAAAGTCCTCCAGGGTGCACCAGCTAATGTGCTCCATTCTTCAGGGCCTGGCATGCAGCACAGCACTGCACTTCGACACCGAGACGTCCAGGCTGTGACAGAGAGATGGGGACCTCGACCGTCAACCAGATATTCTTGTCTGAGCCTGCAGACCCGAGGGTGGTGAGTGCCATGACCTTTGGTCAGGTGTTTCTGTGTCACCTGCCTTCCTTCTCATTTCCATGTGCGGGTAAATCTCAGCATCTCCACATATCAGTGACTACCATTAGAGAGCCCTGAATCAGGCACCAGGGGTGTCTTTGGGCCCCATAATTGAAAGTCTCCATGATAGGACTATAATCAAATTCCTCTAAAGTGCCAGGAAACCTATAGAGTTACCTACCTGTTTACTGTTCTGTGTTCAGGTCCTTGTGTGTACTAAGAAAATGCTCAATCCCTGAGCCATGGGGCCAGGCTGTTACATCACAGTTGTGTAAGTTTGCGGGTCCCTCATCACCAGCTACCCCGTGAGACTGGACTTCCGGGAATTTGAGCTTCTGAACGGGCCTCATCAGAGCCTTTGTGGACCTGATGTTCGAGATGTGGTAAAGTCACTTCGGTTTTAGCTACTGAGCTTTCCAAGGATGTGACAGAGACGGAGAGCTTTGTCTTCCTAAGTCCCCACAAGACGGTGTCCAACTGAGTGTTCTACGGCACTTTTGGGAGGTTTGGACCAAATGAAGCATGGACTGGAGGCTGTTCAGACACTGCAGCCATCCCGCCCACCAGGAAACCCTAGGAACTCTCAGTCTGCCCTCCCTGCCAGAGCGCCCACACTTTGGGAAGAAGGGCCGTGGGATTACTCCGCATTGGCATTAATGCTATGGAGAGCTCCCTTCTCATCTGAGTAATGCTAATTTGCCTCCATCCCCAGTCATTTGCTACCTAGAGAAATGCCCTAACAGCCTGTGACTGGGTTCCGACCTGCAGAGGCTGAGACGCTCGCTGGGGCTGTCTGATATCAGAGCACTTGTGCCTGTATTTTTAGAAGCATCTCTCAGTTAGCCCAACCTTTAGTGTACTGTAGGTACTTTTAATAATCTCCATAAAAGCCTGATTTCCAATCCCTAGGCTCAAGCTGACAGTGTAAATAAAATCACCCAAATCCACAGGGACAGAGAAATGAAAATGACATGGATTAAAATTTGGTCAAAACCTCTTTCTTTTTAAAAATTCTGCTTCCCTTCCAATTGGATCACGACCCTCTGTGTGTTCAGCTTAAGGCCAGACGGCCTGCTTTCACTTTTATTCCTCTCTGTAGCAGGCTTACAGTATTTAGTGAGGGGCTGCAAAGAATGTGCGCCGGGGAGAGAGTTAATACCATAATCCCCCATCGGTGGGGTCAGATGCTGAATAAAGTGAGAGAATTAGCGAATATGTGACGTACAATGGAAGCGAAAACACATCAGCATGGGCACATCAGCACGGTGTCTTGTGAGTAGGGGCATTCGTTGCCCAGGAGTAATGGCTGTGAGGTAGTGTAGTGTGCACACTTAAAAGTTGACCGTGGAAACAGGGATGGAAGACTGGCAAGTGTCTTAATGTGTTTTCTCTCTCTCTCTCTCTCTCTCTCTCTCTCTCTCTCTCTCTCTCTCTCTTCTCTCTTCTCTCATTGCATCTGCCCAAGCACCTGCCTGGATCTGTTCCCTAAGTCACACGTTAACCACGAATCATCACACAGAGCAGAGTAGGCGTCTTCTCTTCGCTCTTCTGCCGAGGGTGTGAATGTGGTTCCGAAAACGCCGTGATGCGGCTGTCTCAGGAGGATTCTCTCAACGAACAAGTAGAGATTGGCGGCACCGCAGGAAAAAAAAAGTGTTAACAGCCACCATCTCATGTGCCTTGGGAAAGCCAACCATGCTCCCTGGAGTAAGATTACAAGCAAATAAATAGCCACATGGAAGTAATTTCAAAAGTGGTGCATGTGTGTGCATGTGTGTGTGCGTGTGTGCGTGTGTGTGTGTATGTGTGTGTGTGGCCAAAAGTGCAAGCTGTATTGTTTTTTCCAAAGCTATCTTTCAAAACCATACCTAGTAGAGATCAACATTAAATATTAATTGAGTTTTAAATTTGCATGTAGTAAAAGGCATTCTTGTGAATGTAGTATTCTATGCTCTGACAAACTTGTGCCACTGTGTAAGGCTGGCCAGTCAGGAGGTGTAATTTCATTAAACCCCACAATGCCTTGGGGTGCTTCCTTCATCAGACCTTGCACCTGAGCCCTGAGAACAACTGACCCACCCTTTGTCCTTTTATGCTTTGCCTCCCCAGAATGTCATGGATCGGAACCTCAGGGTACTTGCCTGTTTCTTCTGGTTTTTCTCATTAGCAAGCCTATTTAATGTCAGTCCAGGGCACGGCGCCTGAAGTCTACTGATCTCGACTGTAGTCATTCATCTTCGTGATTCTCAGTGATGCTTCAAGAGCCGCTTGTTTCCCAACTTTGATACATACTTTATGTAAAATAAATGTATCCTTCTTAAACATACAGTTTTCACCGCTACTTGTACCCCCGTGGGAATCACTGAGTTTGTTTTGAGACAGGATCTCACTATGGAGTGAACTTGCAAAGTCTTGGGACCATACTCTAAGCCAACCGTGTGAGTGTCCACACCCTGAGAAGTTGGTGCAAGAGAAGGTGTCCACTGAGGGGCTGAGGCAGTTTTACTCAGGATTATAAAACTTCCTGACAGTCATATTTGAGATTGTAACCTACAGGCAGAAATAGAGGTGAAAAAATGAAGAAGTGGGGAAGTGAATGAATGTTAGTGTGTGTATGTGTGTGTGCACTTGAGTGTGAATATCATGGGTATGTGAGTATGCCTTTGTGCACATGAGAGCACACATGTGTGCATCTGAGTGCATGCTACTGTTTGTGGCTATGCATGTATGTGCAACAGGGTATGCATGTGAATGAGTGTGTGAATGTGTGTTCATGAATATGTACATGGATGTGTGCACACGGGTGCGGGTGAGTCTCTGTCAGTTCTTGTAGCCACCAGCTAATGATGGGGACTGGCTTCCTGCTCCACCAGACAATATCCACAAAGTAACTGAAAACGAATGGTCTCCAGAGATAACACTCAGGGACGCTATGAATCAGAGATTGGAGCTATTTGTGAAGAATAACCTTCTCTTTGCTATAAGACGCTTCAGTACATGAAATTCCCCAGGGGATGCTGGATCCTAACCGGGAAGCATAAGCCAGGCTGCAGAGAGTAATCTGGCATATTGTCTCTTTCCCACAGGACATATTGACTAAATCACAGAAGAGATCTTGTTTCACGTAAATAAAGCACTATTGTTTAGGACGGACACATCCGAGTGTCTAAAATGTCACTCACTATCATATCTCCATTTCTATTGGCCCAGAGTTGGCCTCAGTCTTCCTTACTGTCTCTTCCTCCTTTACATCCCACAACCATCCCTGTTTCCTCTCTCCCCTGTCACCCATTTTCATGGGGAACTCGTTCACAGCCATGAAGCTAGGGGGGCCCAGGCTACAGCTCCAAGCCAGGATTCTGCACACTTCTAACTGACTGATTTCTCTCCCTTGATGTCCCACCAGCAGACCAAATCCCACCGTCAACAGCTGAGCTCCCAACTATCCACACAAAGCATTCCTCCTCCGTAGAACTTTCCATATACTTCCATTAGCTCATATCTCACTTCTTATTCCCTCCCTGGCTGAAGGTGACAAGCACGTGTCTTCCCCTGGTGCCTGGCATGGTGCCGGGCATCTGGTGGGCATTTATAGATAGTTACACAGGGAAAGAGAACACAGAGTTTGTTCTCCCGTAAACCCTGATGTTTACAAGTGATGGGCGAGTGGCTGTGAAGGCCCTGTGAACACAGCAGGCACTCAGCCCCCCTCCCACCAGCCTCCACCTCTGCAGGTTGCTGAGACATTAGGCAGCATATGTTTTATTGGGCACAGAAAACAACAAGTACACGGCACTCTTCAGCTGTCCTTTTCTCTCACTGAGCTCAGACGTATTGTTCTGCATTATAGGTACTTTTCCACATCCTAAAATATTTAGATGTTCTTATATTGTTGAGAGGAGGCTTTCTTGGTTGACAGCAGGAATCTAGGTGAAGGATCCTGGGGACCTCATACAGAGCTTAGCTCCAGCTGTCTAGACTCCATGCAAAGTGCGGACCCTAGACCGGTAGCAATAATATTACCAGGGAGGTCATTAGAAATGCAAATTCTCAGGCCAGAGAGATTGCGCAGTAGGTTGAGATGCCTACGGTCAGCAAAACTTTACGACCTGAGTTAAGTCCCCAGGTCTGACATGGTAGGAGAAAACCAACTCCCACAAGCTGCTCCCTGCCCTCTACACAGGACACACAAACACACACGGGGAAAAGAAAAGAACAGAAATGAAGAAAATGCAAATTCTTGGGCTTCACCCAGACCTTCTGAATGAGAGGCTCTGATGCAGAATCTTTGATTTAACAAGTTTCCTTGGGAGGATAGCATCATTCACTTTTCAGGGAAGTCCACCTGCTATGGAATGTCTTCTCTACCTGTGCTGATCACTCATGCAGGCCTCTTATCCTTCCCAAATAGCTTTCATATGGAAAAAGAAAAACCCTCTACTCAATGTGTCTGTAGGCTAGAGCCTGCTGTGTACAAAATCTAATAACAGCAGAAAAGAAAGGTACTAAAACTTAGTTTCTATAATAGAAACTTTCTTCAAATGAAGCATTAGTCAGGTGTGTGTGTGTGTGTGTGTGTGTGTGTGTGTGTGTGTGTGTGTGGTGTGCCGGTCAAATGTGACTGAATGTATGGCAAAGACCCCATTCTTCTGGGCTTCCTTTCACTAAACCCCTTCCAGGACACCTCCAAGCAGGAGCTGAGATCCGGAGCCTCTGATGCAATGGGAAGGGGTCTGGATGGACCTGGCCCATCCTCTGAGACCTTCAAGCATCTCTGTACTGTATTAGATACCCCACTGGAAATGTAAAACAATAAAATATAAATGAAAAAACTTTCTCTTCTGGGTGGAAATTATTTACACATACACACACACATACACACATACACACACACACACACACACACACACACACACACACGAATCCAGGCTATCTCTGAATCGATCCCTTTCTTGGGGACACAGGAATAGATGTTTCCTTTGCCACTTGCTGGTCCTCTGTTTTCTCCCTTCAGTACCGATAAAAAAAAATCAAACTTCTGGACCGTCACATAGACACCTACCAGATTGTCAGCCCCAGGATTTGACTGGGAACATGGGCTGGTGCTGTGGGGGTATGTGAGGAACAGTAAAATGTAGACTTTCTGCCTCCCCTCTCCTCCTCCGTCCTCTACTCCCCGCTCCTTTATCTCCTCTTCTCCTCTCCTAGAGGCCTAGAGAGTGATGGGCTGGAGTGGTTCCTCCCATGGATCACCAACTCAACTGTGTGTTTGGTACACCCTAGACCCAGCACTCTGGCAGACGAGTAACCATTGCCCAGGCTCCCTGAGACATTTTTTTTACTCCCGCTCCCATGATATCTGTGCAAAGCCCATGGTCTCTTTCCCCCACATTCTTCTGTTGTTCCTTCCTGCTGCCTCCTCGCCAAGTGACCTTCCCTGCCCCCCGCCTGAGGACTCTTCCCAGAAGAGCTCTAACTGGCTGCCTAGCTGCTAACTGTGAGAGTTCACGGGAAGGGTGGGGGAGATGGGATCCAGACTCTGAGGTCTTATGGGATAATGAAGATGCTGTGGGGAGGGGTGGAGAGAATGCACAGATATGTCTATATATGTGTGTACACCCATGTGGACATGTGTGCCTGGGGTGCCTTATAGAGGTGCATGTACAAGAGAGGCGTGTGTTTGTGTGTGTGGTTATATGTGTATGCATGACTGTGTGTGTGTGTGTTGGGAGCAGGGGTGGAGCGCTGGGGTGGGAGGCTGCTGTGGCAGTGTGGACTTTGCCTTAGTCTCTGGTAGCCTTCTCCATGTATGACCACTGCAAAGCTGTGTAGACAGGAGTCAGTCCTGACCTCAGGATCAGCTCAGCCTAGAGACTGGCTCTCAGAACCCCAGAGGTGTCCTGTCAGTGGGCGGTTCCCTCAGTTGGACCTCAGTGCATCAGAGGTTCCCATAGAAGGCCCAGGTATGCTTTAATTAAATCTGCACACCCAAAATGGCCTGGATGGAGAATGCATCAATAACATTTTTTGCAGTGGCTTATATCTTACATTAGACTCAGCTGCTGTGCACATATAGTAATTTTTCAAATGCAATTTTAAAAAATTGAATCTTTATATGTTTTGTTTGTTCTTATCTTATGGGAAACCAAAGTACCTCCTCCACATCGCCTCACTCCGTCCTATGTTCGGGTCCTGTGGTCCAGGTTCCTGTACCCCAGTGTGGAAGTGCTCCCCATGCATCTTAGCCATGTGCTCCCGTGGCTTGTGCTCATCTTCTCGCTTGCCCTCAGGCATCAGGCACAGGGAGACAAGAGTTCACCCCTGGGGCCCAGCATCCTCCTCCTTCTTCCTCACGCTTGTCAAGGACCCCGTGATGCTGCCCATCAAATGGAAGGTTCAGAGTTTAGCAACATCATTTTGACTTAACATCTTGCTTTGAGGTGCCTGTAAAATGGACCCATTCCAAAGTCCATGCAGAACCCAGGAGAAGGGTAGCAGAAGCTGATGCTGTGGGTTGAAAACCCCCGGAACCTGGGTTGAAAACCCCCGGAACCTTAAGATGTTAAGTCAAAATGATGTTGTTAAACTCTGAACCTTCTACTTGATTGACAGCATCATTCTGCCATCCAAGTGAGAAACTGACACTTGCCCTAGTGTCCGTCAAGACTAAGTCAGTCAAGCTGTTCTCCCAGACACTGACTTTAACTTTTCTTGCTAACCTATTCATTACTATGTCTGTGTATGTTTTTGTTCAGATTCACAACAGCGGTTCATCCATGCTGATGCCTTTGGGGTCCTCACTTCATCTCCAACACTTCCCTGTCACCTTTGGTCCACTGGCCAGATCGAGGGTCTTTCTAGAGTGAGAACGTCCAAGCTTGTGACCTCTTTAGAGCCTCCCACCACTCAAGCTGCACAGAGAAATTTAAATTTAAATTCATTAAGGTGTAGTTTCTTAGAAACTGGGGAGATGTCTCAGAAGGTAAAGTGCTGGCTGTGCAAACATGAGGACCTGAGTTCAAATCCCCAGAGCCCACATAAAGAGCCAGGTTTGGCATTGCATATCTGTAACCCCAGTGTTCCTACAGGGAGATGGGGGGCAGAGACAGGAGAATCCTGAAACATAAGGGCTGGCTAATGTGGGATGTGCAGTGGTGAACAGCCAAAGAGAGAGCCTGGGCTTAAATGGGGTGGACAGTGAGGGCCGGCACCCTTGCTCATGCATATCACATGCGTGCACACATACAGGTACATACATCAACCACACACACCACGTCACATACACTCCCCACCCCCCAGTTCTGGTTCTCATTCATTCAGCCACATCATAACTAACGGCGCACATGACCAGTAGTCTCTCCTACTGAACGCTGCAGATAAGACATTTCCAGCATCACGGCACATTTAGTGGACAGTGTTGTTCAGAGCTTGACACGTTACATACATGACATTCCTGCGCTTTCTCATAGAAGTCAGATGAAGCGCCAAGCTCATCAGCTTGGCATGCCAGATCCTGCACCACTGCACCTAGGACCTCATGACTCAGTCATGCCTGTCTCCTTGTCACCCTGTCTCTTTGAACTCAGTGATGCCCCACCCTCCACTCAGAGAGGTGGTGTCCCCTCATCCCTCCTATCCCCTTAGAATTCCTGCAGTCTCCAGCTCCGCCCAGCATGACTCCATTGTGAAGCTCTCCTTACTTTTCTAGCCAGAGTTTGAGCTCACCTGTTTAAGATCTCATTTGGCATTTTTTAACTTGTAGGACTCTTGTCCCTTGTTCATGCAAAACACACGTGTGTTTATTCACAGTAGAAAGTTGAAGAATGTCTGCCCAAAGATGCCACATTCCGGTGTCCACCTCTGCACTTGTTTCTTCCATGGCAACAGGACTTTACAGATGTGACTGATGTTTATGAGGCGGGAAGTGCCACCTGGATGATACAGAGGCCCAAAGAAGTCACTGCAAGAGTCCTTATAGGCTATGCGATGTCAGGGGCTGAGGTCAGCAGGGTGGAGATGGAGGAGAGGAGTGGAAACGCAGGCCTCCCTGAGAAGCAGAGGAGAGAGACGCAGATTCCCTTCACTGAGTTCCCGGAAGCAGCCCTGCTCTGCTGATGGGATTCAAGCTTGCAGGGTTATATCACAACGACTTTGCCGTATAGCTTGTGACAATTTATCACAACTGCCGTTAGAAAGCTAAGCTGGCCCTCCTGAGCAAGATCTAGCAGATATTCCGAGGCCCCCAATGGATGTATGAAGTCCATGTAAAGCCAAGCCCTACAGATACACTACTCCCTACATTCGTATAAACACATAACACTCGATTTACAAGCTAGGCATATTAAAAGGTTGACAGTGATAGCTCAATGGTCTTAGCAACCCAAGCACAAGATTTTTTTTCTTATGACTTCCCCATGTGATGTCTGACGGCCCAGTATCATTGCTTTTGTACTTTGGGACCATGATTGAATAAAGTAAGAATTCTTAGGCTGAACGAATTGTGATACAACAGCAGTTGATCTGGTGGCTGAGCCAACTACTGAGCAGCTGAAGAGAAGGTAGCATATATAGAGTGGATACACAGGACAAAGGATTGTTCCAAGTCTAAGATTCCACCATGCTACTCGGAACAGGATACAATGTAAAACTTCAGATTATTTACTTCTGGAATTTACTCATTTCCTAGTCTGAGGTTGTGGTTGACCCTGTGACTGGACCCATGGAAGGTAAAAGGTGACCATTCTGATGCCTCTACTCTTCCAT